TTAAATTAATCACAATTTTTTTTTTATTTAGTCAACCATAGATAATTTCGATTCCAAATATCTCGAGAACCATTACTCGTAGCGATTTTTACCAAGAAACCTTTTTTATGTAAAAAACGTCGTAAATATATATTTTGTTACTCAGAAGTTTTATACAGGTAAGAACGAAAAGTTATTACTCTTCAAACCAGTTAAAAATTATGTAGGTGGCGCCCTCTACAAGTAGGAGTCATATTAACATCAAAATCAAATTTCTCATGTCAAAAAACTTCCATACACCAATTTTCATCCAAATATTGACGTTACTTAAATTATCTGGAAAAAATCGAAATAAAAATGAAACTTCTACACCCTGTATCTCCGAAACTAAGCATTTTAGGACATATATTTATTCGAACTTTTTTACTTATTTTTATCTGCGGAATATGCTGCCGAAGTTTCCGGAATACAGTTCGGACCACCCTGTATACAGAGTAACCCACTGTTCAATTTTTCAGTTCCACCTCCATATCGTGCTAGTTAATCGCATCAGTTATGTTATAGCAGTGTATCTCCAAAGTGGTTCAGGTCTACGTTGGCGTGAAAATGTGATGGATTTTCACAAGTCCAGGAAAGTTTATCTGGTTTCGATAGTAAAGAACAAAAATGTTGGCTTGCCTTTACCTCTTAATGTAGGCAGATAATACACTAATCAAAAAATTGAGAAAGTTAAAATAATCCAATTTTTTCTTGGGAAATGGCCATATTGAGACTTTAAAAAAGATTCCAATTTTCTTATTTCTTGTCCAATTTTTTTAGCAGCTTCGATTGTCATTCAATCCTTACAGACAGCGATTTTTTTTGGTCTACGGGCTTGTAAAACCATTTCAGTTAGGTCGGCATATGAACAGAAAACCTGTTTACTTAACATTATTTTTTTTAATTTCCTTGATTTAAAACCTCCCATAACTTTTTTTGAATAGTGTATTTTAAGGCCAATGACTATTGCTTTAAAAAAATTAATTATCAATTTATAAAGCAAAATATTAGTCGGTGCATATTTTCCCAATTTCTAAACTTGTCATAGCTAGAATATCAAAATGATGATATTCACACATATGTACAGGGTGGCTCGAATTCGACGCTCATCATTGGGATTTCGGAAACCGTAAGAGATACAGGATCGGTTAAGTAAAGGCAAAGTTGCGCAATTTGATGCTCAAAAAAATGCCGTGTTGCATTTTTATTTTTTATTTTTATTTTTTTTGCATAAAATATTCTGGTGATGGAATTTTCTGTACGAAACATCGGCAAATATCAAATTGACTATATATAGTGTTTTAAGAGTGATGAAAGGATTTAATTAAATTGAAAAAAAAAATCAGGTCCGTATTTAAAAAAACTAAGTTGATGATGGTCGCCAGAAGCCGAAATGTCAGAGTCAATATTTAATCACACAGAGTTATAGAGCAGGAAAAATGGCCATGATAATGTGTTTTTTTCATTTTAAGTTATCTTAACAAATAAAGCCAGGAAACAATAGAAAACAAAATTGAAAAATCCGTTTTTTTTCGAATATATTCGGAATTTTTCAAAATGCAATACGGCATTTTATTGAGCATCAAATTGCGCAACTTTGCCTCCACGATCCTGTATCTCTTACGGTTTGCGAAATCCTAATGATGAGCGTCGAATTAGAGCCACCCTGTACATATGCTCAACATTTAATTGACTGCGCTTGCCAATATATCTTCCAAATATGGACATTACTTCAGAAATTATTTGGAAGAAATCGAAATAAAAATGGAACTCGTACACCCTGTATCTCGGAAACTAAGCATTTTAGGACATTTATACGAACTTTTTATTTGTTTTTATCTACAGAATATGCTGCCGAAGTTTCCGGAAAACCACTAAAGTTTGAACCACCCTGTATCACAATTTTATTTTCTATAAACCGAAATTTAAAGCCGCGTCTTCACTGGTAAAAATGTGCGTCGAACTAAATAGTTCATCGCAAATATGTGCATGCCAATCTAACTAATTTCTCTAAAAATATATCTTAAACAATAAACACAATATGAAGCTATTTTGTAACAGTTGGCAACCCTGTATATTAGGGTGACCCAAAAAAACTAACCTATTGAATTTATGGGTTAAAATGAACCTAATAACCGAGAAAAAAATATCCCCGGAAAGCAGGATTTTTAGCCCAATTTTAAAAGGTGTCGTTGAACATCCAAAATTTTCCATTTAAATAACACGTAAAAAATCTTTTTCTGTTAAAAGTACCATAACTTTAAAACGGTTTACGATAATTTTTTTTACATCGCGGATTCTCGTAGAGCATAAAATTTCCTAAAAAATCTATCTAAGAGTAATTTTTAGCCGACCATACCAACCGGCAAAAAAAAATTTTTTTAATTTCACTCAAAATGAGTTATTTGGGTCATAAATGACCTAAATACAAAATATTTTCATGGTGTCTGTCAGTCTGTATGTCTGTCTGTCTGTCTATCTGTCCGTCTGTAACACGATCAGGGACGCGCCAAGTATTTTCGGCGCCGTCGCGTCGTGCGAAATAAGGGTAGGCGCCTTTCTCCAATATTATAATATTAAGCCAAAATTTCCAATGACCAGAAGCGCGGCGCTTGACATTGGTGGATAATATATTTTCACCACTAGCGTTCATAGATAAAAGTATTACTTAAATTTTATGTTAATTTGTTGATGTTCCAAAAAATGGTTTTATTATTTTTTAAAGTCAGTGACCGCAGGCGCCTTTAAGCTGGATTTATAAACTCGGAAGTTGGCGTTCAGTTGAGGTTCAGTTGCAGTTGGATGTTCGCGGCAGTTGAGGTTCAATATTTTTGCCTTTATAAACTGTCAGTTTCGGTTGTAGGTTAGGTTTGGAATTGTGAAAATTTCGAACGTTTTTCTTTCGATTTAAAAATACTTCTGGTATTTGTCAAAGTTCAAACACAGTAATCCACGATTACGCAAAATATAAACATCACATTAACAGAAATAATGAAACAACAATAAGGGTCATTTTCCAATGCATCGGCGTACTGTGCTTCACGTGATCGACAGGCGCTTATTCATTGGCTGTCACCGAACGTCGCCAGCGGTCGCCAACTGCCCGCAACTGCCGACATAAACATTGACCATCTTTGAACTCCGCTGAACATAAAACGAACTGCCAACTTTTCGACCAACTGACTTTATAAATGTGCGCGTTCATTTCATAGCGTTGAACATTTTGAACGGCAACTGAACCTCAACTGAACCTCAACTCCCGAGTTTATAAATCCAGCTTTAGGGCTTTGGCGCCGTCGTGCGCCGCACAATCTTGCCCATATGGACGGCGCGTCCCTGAACACGATAACTCAAAAACCGCTAAACCGATTAAAATCAACCAACCAATTTTGGCACCAAACCAAATTTGGCACAAAAATACTGTGGCACCCGAGAATCTGGTAAGCGGGGATGGGAGGGCGTTAAAAATTTTAAAAAATCGTAACTCCAAAATTACAGTAGCTAGCGAAACGCGGGTTTCAATTTAATATTAGGAATAATATTTGCAACAAAATTTGTAATAACATCAAAATTAGTCCAAGTCGCAGTGTTTGAGATATTCCCTGTTTCCGTAGTCCGTTTTTGAGAAAATCCGTGTGGAGAACTCCAAACTCCCATCGCACGCGACTCCAGGTGGCGGATAGGGGAAATAACCGCGGACCAGAATTGGAAAAATTCCTTTACTTTGAAACTAAAAGAACTGCCTACCAACTTTTTATTAACATATTTTAGTATGGGCGGCTATACGTGCCTCCCGGCGCCAATTTTTTTCAATTCAATAATTCGTATATTTGAAAGCTTTGAAAAGTGAAAAAAATCAAAATAATATGCAGTTTTAGTGTTTATTGATTAAAAATGTTTATATTTAGCAAAAAAAATTGGCGCTGGGAGGCACGTATAGCCGCCCATACTTGATATTTTTAGCCGACCATACCAATAGGTATGGTAGGCTATTAGGATCGGCAAAAAAAAGATTTTTTAATTTTACTCAAAATGAGTTATTTGGGTCATAAATGACCTAAATACAAAATATTTTCATTGTGTCTGTCTGTCTGTCTGTCTGTCCGTCCGTCTGTCCGTCTGTAACACGATAACTCAAAAACCGCTGAACCGATTTTAACCAAATTAGGCACAAAAATACTGTGGCACCCGAGAATCTGGCCATTAGTTTTTGGTGGGGGTGGGAGGTTGGTAAGGGGGTATGGGAGGGGGTTAAAAATTTAAAAAAATCGTAACTCCAAAATTACAGTAGCTAGCGAAACGCGGTTTTCAAATTAAGATTAGGAATAATTTTTGCAACAAAATTTGTAATAACATCAAAATCAGTGAAAGTCGCAATTTTCGAGATATTAACATATTTTAGTATGGGCGGCTATACGTGCCTCCCGGCGACAATTTTTTTTATCTCAAACTGCGACTTTGACTGATTTTGATGTTATTACAAATTTTTTTGCAAATATTATTTCTAATCTTAAATTAAAAACCGCGTTTCGCTAGCTACTGTAATTTTGGAGTTACGATTTTTTAAAATTTTTAACCCTCTCCCATACCCGTTTACCAACCCCCCACCCCCACCAAAAACTAATGGCCAGATTCTCGGGTGCCATATTTTTGCCTGTATTTTTGTGCCAAATTTGGTTAAAATCGATTTAGCGGTTTTTGAGTTATCGTGTTACAGACAGACAGACGGACACCATGAAAATATTTTGTATTTAGGTCATTTATGACCCAAATAACTCATTTTGAGTGAAATAAAAAAAAAATTTGCCGATCTTAATAGCCTACCATACTGTTGGTATGGTCGGCTAAAAACTAGATTACTCTCAAATAATTAATCTCAGATAGATTTTTTAGGAAATTTTATGCTCTACAAGAATCCGCGATGTAATTTTTTTTATCGTAAATCGTTTCAAAGTTATGGTACTATTAATGGAAAAAGATTTTTTACGTGCTATTTAAATGAAAAACTTTGAATGTTCACCGATACCGTTTAAAATTGAGATAAAAATCCTGCTTCCGGGGATTTTTTTTCTCGGTTATTAGGTTCATTTTAACCCATAAATTCCATAGGTTAGTTTTTTTAGCTCACCCTACTGTATATTTATGACCACACTCCATTAATACTATGCGCTTCAAGAAAAAGCAAATATTAGAATAATTACAGGTACAGATATCACACAAGCTGCATACAACGCAGTTCTGGGCTCGCATTCCGACTCCACAATATACTCCTCGTTCCAGAGCGTCTCGTTCTCCTTGACGGGCAGCTCCAAAACCAACTTTTCCGACGAGAAAAACTTCAGGTCCACCGCGCAGGTTTCCGATTGATTTTTGCACACGGACACCGGATTCGACAGATCATAGATGGCCTTGTTCAGGTGGAACTGAACCCGGATGTAGTTGGGCTGGATCTCGTTCTCGCTGTTGAACACGAAAAAGTAATAACCGTTAACCGGTACCCTGGAAAGGAAGAATAATTATATTAGATATGTTTCTAATTATTTGATTTGTTTTGGACACAATTTTCTATTAGACAATGAAGTTTGTTTAGCCATAGGCTTCCACTAATCATAGACTTTAGAAAGACTTTCGCCTCGATATATACTAAGGCAATCAATCCTGGATATATCCTTAGACAACTGTTAAGAATAAAATGGTACCACCATGTCTCAAAAGTATCAGTCCGTGAAAAAGTAAGCTGCGAGAGCGCTGAAGTGATGATTACTAAATCCCGCTTAAGATGGGCTGGCCACGTATGCAGGATGCAAGAACACCGCTTACCGAAATCTCTTCTTTACGGTAAGCTTGTAGACATTTTCCATAAAAACTTAAAGGGGATAAGTTACAACACAATAGGTACCCATACACCAGCGTTCTTTCCTGCAGGAATGTCTAATCCCGCTGGAAAGAACGCCAATTAGTGGGTATATGCATGACGCATGCACCTTCCGTCTTTCTTGTCAGAATCTACTGGCGTTCCAGCCCGACAAGATAAAACGTGTAAAAAATTTGTATTAGTGGTTTGGGGTCATTTCATTTGAGAGATGATATCCGTGTGTTCTCTCCTGTTAGGAAAGTCTGTTGTTAAAACGCCAGTTAGTTTTTTTAAGTCTTAAATATTTATTAGCTAGTTAGTGTTTTACGAATTAATTACGATGAATTTTTGTATGTATGGACTAACTAATTTTAACACTTCATCAAATGTTATTAGAATCCATTCTTAAATAATTCTGGAAATCGGTAGGCTCACTTGTCCGTAATTCTCGTAACAGATACATATTGCTGTACATTTTCCGTTTCTGAAGCCACTCCTTTGATCACATGCGGCGTTTCTGCTTTTTCTTAAACAAAACTTCAATTGCAATATTAAATACAGCAATTGCAATTATTCTTTTAGGTTTCATCTTAATATTAATAGTTTAATAATAATAAAAATAAATATTAATATTATTATTCAAAGCACACCACTTGTTTACTTGTATTGCACAACACAAATTTTATAAAAGTCAAATCTCACGATCCTTAGTAAAATGATCATCTAGCGGGAAAATTTTAATAATCGTGTCACATTTACAGTACAACAAACTAAATCCTTTAAAAACTGCAACGAAAGGTATTTTGTGTTAGTGGGCTTTGCAAGGAATATAACTCCTTCAAAAAAGAACAGGCCAGTCTTACAGTAAAAACTGACAGGAAATTCAACAAGATTGCGTTTGTGTTAGTGGGATTGGACCTTCGTTCTTTCCTTTCAATTTTTTGACAAGAAAGAACGCATAAGGAAAGAATTACAGGAAAGAACGCTGGTGTATGAGTACCTAATGTGAGGAAGCAGCGCAATGGAGAAGAATTGTAAACTCAGTTAACAACGGCAACCAAAAAGTGAAGAAGCAACAAAGTAATCAGATTTTTGAATGTCCGGAGTGCGGAAGAGAGATAACATCACGTATCGGGCTTTTCAGTCACAGAAAAGCTCATGAAAGACAACGCCTTGCGTAACCATCTTCTGATGCGTGTCAAATACTCGTGAGCGAATAATGGCAGTAAGTAAGTAATCCTAAGGCAATAATAGAAGCCCTAGCGAAACAAGGTATTAACAGACCTTATATTCGCCAATATATACATACATACATTCGCCAATATATACAAAAAAGGCAAAGCAAGAGTATATAATGATATATAAAACAATCCCAGAGTTCCCAACTGGCAAAGGAGTAAGACAGGGAGACGCGATATCCCCAAAGCTGTTTACACAGCAACACTAGAAGAAATCTTCCGTCAACTAGACTGGACCAACAGAGTATTAATAATAGATGGGGAATATCTTAACCATCTAAAGATGCGTACTCACTAGAGCATTTTGCTCCGAACGAACCAAACGAGCCGAGCGTGCAGAGCCGAATTCGGCAAGTGAATACGTGTTCGCGAACAAAATTTCACCGAACCGAGCGCGCCAAACAATATTCTCCGGGTTGTCGGTACATGTATTTTGCTCAAAGGGGATGCGTTGTTCAGTGGGTACGGAGGTTCGTTGCGTTCATGGTGTTCGTCCTATTCGGAGCATTCGCGGCTAAAAATTTTCATTGTTTTGATTTTTCTTTGCACAAACGAAATAGAGTGGAATAGAAAAAGTGCCTTCAGTTAACAGACATTTATGAACGATATCCAGTGCTTTGGAATCCAAAGATGGATTATACTACTATAAAGTTAAGAAGTTTGATGCGTGGAGGCAGAAAGATGAGATCTTGGGATGTGCTTGGGGTGTGATCATGGGATGTGACACTTAAAACGGACATTATAAGAAAACTACACGTTTTTGTACAACGCCCAATGGAACAAAATATGCTGGAAATAGCCAAGAAAGACCGTAAAAAAATAGAGTACCTAGATACGCCAAAAGACCCAGGTAATAGATGTCATCCACAGAATCAAATCTCTCAAGTGGTAATGGGCAAGACACCTAGCAAGAAGGACGGACAGCAGATGGACCACAGAAATTGCAGCATAGTACCTGGTACCCACGAAGAATTAAGAGACCTAGAAGAAGACCAAACCTGAGATGGGACCATTATATATTAAGAAATTAGCAAGAATAACTTGGGCCCGCATAGCCATCAATAGACAAAACAATGGGCCCAACTACAAAGAGAGTATCTAAATATGTGAGGGAGACCATAATTGGAAACGGTAAAATAAGCTGAAAATGATAATGATTTCATATAGGGTTTCCAGAGTCCAGATATACCCTAACATGTCCGGGTTTTAAGATTCCCTGAGTGGTTAAATGTGGTTAAGTACTTTAGTAATGTTAATCTGTAACCTCCAAAGAAATTTAATTTACTGAATATTTAATTTACCTGTACGTAATAGAGTTTGCTAAATACGTCTCTTCGGCTTCTTGGTCGCTCAAATCCCTGCGACAGTTGTGGTGCGGTGTAAGAGGTAAATTCAAAATCAACCCTTCACAATTCAGTAAGGCCTCTTCCGAGCTCGAAAACGATGACCAGAACTCACTGTTGCTCATGTCATGGTCCGTATCGGTTTCGTTTATGGTGTCGCGATGATCAGCGATACCATCTGGCTTTGGGGTGAATCCCTAAAATTCAATAGTACACATAAATTCCATGTGATTGGATATACAGGGTGCTACAAATTCGCGGTACGAGCATTGGTATCTCGGAAACCGTAATAGATACGAAGATGGCTAAATTGGGGCAAAGTTGCTCCTTGGGATGTTCACCAAGATGCCATCAAAAAAGCTTTAAAAATTTCAAGGATTTCTGAGTTTTTTGAAAAAACCGTATTTTTTTGAAAATCAATTTTATTTTTTCCTGTCGTTAGTTTTTAGAAAATAAAAAACTAACTGCACATTCTCATAGCCACTTTATTAGGGTTATCTGATAGTATTTTTAGATTTTCAAATTAGCTGATAATTTGTGAGATACAGAGACCAACTTAATTTTTTGAATACGGACCTGCATATTTTATTTCAAGTTTTGAAAGAACTCCTGAGTACAATGATATGCCACACTTAATATTTTTTTGTTTCGGACATTCGAACACAATTTATTTAAACTAATTTAAAGTCCGGCTCTGTTTTCTTTTAATGTTTAATCTATTCATCGTTATAATACTGATAAGCTTTCAAACTTAACAATGACGTGGAGTAAGACATTGAATACGGAAAATCAAATACAATAAAATAATAAAAAATAATATAAAATAAATAATATAAATATAATATCAATAAACAATCAAATAAGCATTTCCCTGGTAGATGGATTGGAAATGGCAGAACAGTATAATGGCCAGCGAGGTTTCTGTCGTCCATAAGAAGAAGATATGTTCAAAAAGCTATAAATAAGATTGAACGAAAAATAAATTTGTGCATTAGGGAGGATTGTAACCCTTTCAATTTTTTTGGTTTATTTATATTAACTACGATTAATATTATGCATATTATTAGATCGTACACTGAGATTTCAAATTCATAATAAGAAAAGTTAAAAATCTTAATAACATCTTTAAATTGCTGACCTAAATATTATTTATTTGAATCATTGAATTTGCTCGATTTTCCTTATTCAATGTTAATTAACGCTGATCAATATTATTGCGATGAATATAATCAGATTAAATAATTTAAAAAAACAGAGTCGGACTTGAAATTATTTTAAACAATAATTAAATAGTTTTGTTGTTGTTAAAGTAACTAAAACAAAAGAAAAGTATCAAGTGTGGCATATCATTGTACTCAAGAGACCGAGTGCTTTCAAAACTTGAAATAAAAAATGCAAGTCCGTATTTAAAAAAATTAAGTTGGCCTCTGTATCTCACAAATTATCAGCTACTTTGAAAATCTAAAAATACTATCAGATAGCCCTAATAAAGTGGCTATGAGAATGTGCAATTAGTTTTTTAATTTTCTAAAAAGTAACGACAGGAAAAAATAAAATTAATTTTCAAAAAAATAGTTTTTTCAAAAAAACTCAGCAATCCTTGAAGTTTTTAAATCTTTTTTAATCGAATCTTGGTGAACATCCCAAGGAGGCAACTTTGCCCCAATTTAACCATCTTCGTATCTATTACGGTTTACGTACCAAGATTCCAATGCTCGTACCTCGAATTTGTAGCACCCTGTATAAACATTACTGAGACAATTACATAAATCATCTGGAAAGATTATATTATACTATGTTGGCCAAACTCTCTGAAATTATATCTAATAATAAGAAGTACATTTTAAGATATGTACTTACCTCTTCAAGACCTTTGTCGTTATCATCATCGTCCTTATTTAAATCGATATAAGCTGCTGCCACGTCCCTTCTTCTTCTTTTTCTTCTACGGTCATCAATACTCTTACTAAACTGGACTACAGGCTTATTGTATTGTCTTCCCTGCGTCTTTAACGCAGGTCCACTTTCTTCGGTATCTTTATTCGAAGCTTTATTGTCTCCTTGATTGCCAAATTTTTTATTAAGTTCCTCCAATATCCTCGAACCCTTTTCGCCCATATTACCCAAAGTGTTCAACAGTCGGTTAATGACTTCTTCGGATGTTTCTGGCCTATCCATAGATTCACCTGAATATAAGCCATCTATTGTATAATATTTCTTCTATAATTTTTTAAGACATATGAACAAAATATTAACTAAAAATTATGGTGAATTTTAACAGTTCAGTGTCAATAGGATTCAGTTTCATGTTGAAAAAACCCCATATGATCGAATAAAATGTTAATTTTTCAAATATTAATAACAAACTCCAAGAAAATTAATAACAAGATAACACCAGTGCGCAGTGGCTTAAAAATTGCATGTCGTAAAATTTGAAGGTGACTTTCTTATTTAATTTCTTTATATGAATTAAATTAATCTATAATCTGTATTATCAATAAAATGCACGTAATCTCTTAGTCAAATAAAATGTTGCGGTTTGTACCGGGTGCGTCTCAAAAGTAGCTCACCCCCTATAACTTTTTTATTTTTTCAGATAGGAAGACGAGATTTGGTACGTATGTGTAGTATATTTTTTGTATGTGTAGTATATGACATAAATTAGGATTGATTGACGTATACGATGGTTTTAGGTCACTTCTTGTTTCCCGGAAATGACTACAACTTTTGATTTTTAATTTTTTAAATGGCACCCTTCGTATTTTTTTACTTTATTGGATAGAAATTTATTAGATATTTTAGATTTATTGATTAGACACTCTGAATACTAGAGTGTCTAACATAATCATATGTCAACTTTTGACATTTTGACTTAAAACAAAATTGTATTTTAAGTTTCAATCTAGAGTGCCATGGCTGTGTTAAAAACACTAATTTTTAAACAAGGAGCCTTGGAAAAATAGATTTGGTCGTCTAATGTTTTTCGTGCCTTGTCCTGGCCTGTTAAAAGATACCCAAATCGCATTTTTAATCATATCTCAATTTTTTCAAATGGAACGAGGGTGGCTCATTAGCATATTTGGAAAAAGCATATTTAACGAATAATTTGGTACCACACGCTTGGTATGTCGAGACAAATTGTCGCTATGAATCGCATGTTGCAATTCCAAATAAACCATATGCAAAAATGTCAAAAGTTGACATATGATATGCCATTCTATTCAGAGTGCCATTTTCTATCGAACAAAGTAAAAAAAATTCCGGGGGTGCCATTTAAAAATCAAAAGTTGTAGTAATTTCCGGTGAAACCGGAAGTGACCGAAAACAATTGAATACGTCAATCAATCCTAATTTATGTCATATACAAACATACCAAATCTCATTTTTTTATCAGAAAAAATAAAAAAATTATAAGGGTGAGCCACTTTTGAGACGCACCCGGTATATAATAAAATATGAAAAGTATTTATGAAATAACATTCTTTCCCATAATAACAACGAGGTACCTACTCGATAAATACATACCTGGATAGTGGATATTTAGATTATCGGTTTCATTTTTGGCAATGGTGGAATTCCTCTTAAAATGTGGATGGTTTTCAACTTGTTTATTTTTATCCTTCTGTTTCTTCGTTTGAAGGGCTTCCAGTATCGACTTCATGAATTTCGAATCTGTTAAATCTGAAGTGTCTATGTTATCCTTGATAGTGTAGTTTTCCTTATTGGCTTGATGAGCAGGACTGCAACATAAAACAAACAATATATTTACTTTTTTTAGTAGCTATAATTTTGCGTTTTTCCTCATATATGAAGCAGAAGCACTTACTTTGACAAACAAGAACAATAATGGAAGACAGGTCATGCAACAGAAAATGGAAAGGTCCATGTTGGGAGTTACACTTAGAGATAAAATACCCAATCATATCATACAAAATCGAACAGGAGTAAGAGATGCGGTGATATGTGTCTTACATCTTAAATGGAATTGGGCAGGATATGTGGCTCGGATAACAAATGGACGGTGGACAAAGAGACTTGTGGAATGGAGACCAAGACACGAGGCCTATAGAAGCAGAGGACGACCTCCTAGCCGATGGACAGATGATATTAAGAGAGTGGCGGAAGCTGGATTCAAGTGGCACGAAATAGAAAGAAATGGCTAGAGTTGAGGGAGGCTTTTGTTCAGCAATGGACGGAATAAGCTAAATGATGATGATGAATATCCTTAAAAATTATTTTCGAAGTTAGAGATTGTCTCCAAAAAATCCTCTATGGGTATTTCGCCACTGCAAGAAAATCTACAAAATAAAATAGTTATTTTTTGTAAACACTTCTGCGTTAATCCCAAACGGAAACTACTTGTCAGAAGTTATGTTTACAGTTATACAAATTTGCCTAACGAACAAAAAAAAGCTTAACGTTTCGGAAAGTTTATCTCTTTCCTTCGCGCGTCGTCGGAAGCAAAAAAAAGAAAATACAAAGAATAAAGAAAAAAGCTATTTAAAATATTTAAATTCAACTATTCGAGAACACTTTAGTTTTTTAAAACAGATTCGTCTACAAAAACCGTTGACGTTCTGTTAAAATGACATTATATCAAGTGAATCTTCAAAATTGACAATTAACGTAAAAAATGATAACAATTACTTAATAAGGTAAAACCAAAAAGCCCCAAACTTTCTGTATGATTATTTTTATTTTTTACGTAGGTATGTTATGTTTATAAAAAAAAAGTTATGGTTCTTTAAAATCAAAGAAGCGATTGCCATACATTACTTATTAGTAATCTTACCCTTGTTACTTATTAGTAATGTATGGCAATCGCTTCTTTGATTTTAAAGAACATAACATAAATAAACATAACATACCTACGTAAAAATTAAAAATAATCATACAGAAAGTTTGGGGCTTTTTGGTTTTACCTTATTAAGTAATTGTTATCAGGTAGTTAATTGTTAATTTTGAAGTTTAACTTGATATAATGTATTTTTAACAGAACGTCAACGGTTTTTGTAGACGAATCTGTTTTAAAAAAACTAAAGTGTTCTCGAATAGTTGAATTTAAATATTTTAAATAGTTTATTTCTTTATTCTTTGTATTTTCATTTTTTTTTGCTTCCGACGACGCGCGACGGAAAGAGATAAACTTTCCGAAACGTTAAGCATTTTTTTGTTCGTTAAGCCGGCTACAAACGGCATGGCAAGCCATGGCCAGCGTTTCAGCAAACGTTTGTAGAAGCGTTGATCTTTGCTTGATATTCGCGCACCGACGACCGTACACACTACATGTTTTATCTTTGCCAGTTTTTTTAGGCAAGTGAAGGCGAACGTTGTACAAGGGTACAAATAACACAAGAAATGGAGTTCGACTCCGATGATGAAGTAATAGCAGCGTCTGCTCTACTTTTAACTTCAACTGCATTACTTCTGTCAAAAACTATTAAAAAAGAAAAAACGCAGGTGGTGGACTAATTCGCTCAATTTGAGTAGGACAAGGTAATTGTAGATTTGCACTTCCCTATTTTCCTCAAAAACGTATCCATGATGGTAAAGGCAAACCATGACGGCTTATATACGGTATACGTCAACTCCTACCCAACCAAACTTCTTCAAGGGATACCATAAACTATTCAAACGAGTTTTATTGTCATTTAAACTCAAGCTCTCTTGGACTAACATATTATGTCGTGTGTACGGCGATCAAGCCCACTGGCGAGTTTCAACAAGTCCCTTTGATGTGTGTCGAAAATACCGCTTCATAGGCGAACCCTGGCCAGCGCCAACCTTGCCTTTGCTTTGCCATATGTTTTGCATACACACGATGTATTTTTAGAGATTGTATTTGATTTATTTTATTCTTTCCTTTAGTAATTACTGGTTCAAAATAGAAATATGTCTTTTCACAAAAATTGAAATACAAACCTGTGAAATGTGACATCGGCACGATGCCTCTTCATAATTTCTGGATCATTGGTTCGTGATTCATTCGAGTTTAGCCTTAAAAGATCCTGTTCATTGGCAACATAAGTTCCTTCCTTGATAGCCTCCATCAATTCGTCCAATTCTTCAGACGAATCGTCTCCAATGTATGCACACTCGTGGAGATGTCTGTGGCCTCTTATCACAATTAAAGATGCACCGGGCCATCTAAAATGCGATTAATTATAATGGTTAACACTGTTCTTATAGTTAAAGACACTAAAAAATGTGTAATTGTATTAGCTACTACAACAAACAATTTTTGCATATTAAAAAACAAAAAAGTTTTCCATATTATCTCGAAACAACGTTTTTTGGCTAGGTAAAAGTAAATTTTACAAAATATATAGGGTGCTCCGAACTGTATTCCAGAAACTTCGGCAGCATATAAATATAAGTAAAAAAGTTTGTACAAATGTATGTCCTAAAATGCTTAGTTTCGGAGATACAGGGTGTAGAAGTTTTATTCTTATTTCGAGTTTTTCCAAATAATTTCTGAAGTAACGTCAATATCTGGATGAATATTGGTGTCTGGAAGTGGTTTGACATTAGAAATTATATGTATTGATCTTAATTTAATTTCTATTTGTAGGGGCGCCACCTATATGTGTTTTAACTGTTTTGAAGTGTAATAACTTTTCGTCCATACCTGTATAAAACCACTGAATGAAAGAATATACATTTCCGTGATTTTTTACGTAAAATATGTTCCGTTCTCAATATAATGAAAATAGTCAGTACATGTCTTTATTGACAAAAAATAAACAGGTTGAATAGATAGTTTTTTGGCTGAAATGATAAATTTGGGAAGTTTTTATTTTTCTAAATTAATATAAAATTTGTATTCGTAAAAACGATAAAAGAGTTTCTGTTAAACTTTTGACACAAAAACATTTCAAATTTACGATTTCAGTTTAATAACTAGTTAATGAACATGTTTAGTATTTTTTTACTCAGTAGTTTTATACAGGTACGGACGAAAAGTTATTACACTTCAAACCAGTTAAAAAATATGTAGGTGGCGCCCTCTACAAGTAGTCATATTGAGATCAAAATCAAATTTCTCATGCCAAAAAACTCCCAGATACCAATTTTCATCCAAATATTGACGTTACATCAGAAATTATTTAGAAAAGATCGAATTTAAAATGAAACTTTTACACTCGGTATCTCCGAAACTATGCATTTTAGGGCATATATTTATACGAACTTTTTTATTCATTTTTATTTGCAGGATATGCTGCCAAAGTTTCCGGAATACAGTTCAGACCACACTGTATATTATCGCGGTAGAAATAATATTTTTATTTTTATCAATGTTCAATTTTTGTTCAATAATTTCTTACCTAACACAAGTGTTTACCGTCACAGATGATCCTTTTAAAAGATAAAATCCCCAGTACTCTTTAGTGTCGTCTTCTAAAACAAAGTGTCGTGTCATCGACAATGTTTTTATAGTATCCGACAATTTCGGAGGTTCTGATAAGAGGAACGCATTGAACGTTGCGTTTGTCTTTATCCTCTGCCTCTAAAATGTAATAGAAATATTTTTTGAGTAAAACCACAGGTAACATATCTATGTACCTATCTGGAGTAAAACGCCAATATCGGACTTATATGTTTATTAAATTTTATAGCAATGCACAGAGAAGTATTTTAAGTCAATTTTAGAGGGGTAGTCAAAAAAATGGTTTGAGAATGGGGGTGATGATTTTTTTATAAACAACTATAATCTAGCATGTTTTTTCACGTTGTTGTTTTTTTTTGTACCTTAGAGCAACTACAAAAATTATATAAAATCAAAACGAACAAGTTTTAACTAATAATACAAAAGAAATAAGGATGTGGCATTTCTAAACTATTGTTCAACTCATTACTTAGTAGTTTAGTTAGTTAGCTAATAGACAGAAAATTCAAAGCTTTAGCAAGTCAACTAACAGAATAATGTAAGCTTAATAGGTATCTATGTTAAATGTTAATGCTACAGCGTGGCAAATATGCAATTCTTTGTACTAGGGCAATGACTCTGGCAATGATAATATAATCAATTGATAAAGAACTATATGAAGGGTTCCAAGAACTATATGAAGTCTCCAAGTTATTAGACTCTTTGAAAAGAATAGGATTGGAGAATGCAACCTAGAGATAAGAAGAGGACCACTATAGATCTGAAGATCTGAATGATGGGACCACAATAGATCAAAAGGTGGCAGTGGAACAGGCCTCTAGCCACATCAAAAAAAATCGACTCTAATCTAGTTATAGTACGAGAGCTAGCAACGCAACGTCGGGAAAACAAGAATTTTAAGAAAGCTGGTTCTTTACTTAATATATCTTTTGTTATGCTCTCTTGAACAGCGTGCTTTTTTATGAAACTAAATATGCTAAACCTAGATTCTTCTTTTAGCCTTCTTAGTTCCTGAAATACAGGGCGAATTTGAGTTTAATGCATTTTTGACACCCCTCGTGCCCCTCATATCTCGATTAGATAATCGATTATTATCTTATTATAAGATTGTAATATATCAAAAAGAACAAATATGTGTCCCTTAGAGTTTATTTTATGTAGAATCCAATGGCGTAACTAGTTTTTCGCTGGGAGCTGTCATTTTCGAAATATAACTCAAACTTATGTTTTTAAACGGGATGGGAACAGTTTTTTTTTTATTTGCCTTTTTATAAGCTTTCTATAAATAATAGTATACTCCATTAATAAGGAAAGAAATGCATATTTAGTTTTATAAAAAAGGAGCAAAATAATGTGAATATTGTATAACCGCAATATTGTATCTCTACTCATAAACGATAAATCCCATAAAACACACGAAAATGGGACACCCTGTACAGATGTGATGCGCAGTCATGGTACAAAGAATACAAGGTATGATATTGCGCAGGTTGGTCGCTACGTCACAGGTGATAACAGGCGCTATTGGTCAGCACGCCCCGCGCGTCAGTTCAAATCGTCAAGATATTGTTATAAACCTGTTTTTTTGTTTATATACCGTCATTGAATTATGGCTAAGCAAGTTACTGTGGAGCAGTGCGTAAGGAGTCGGGCTAGGAAGCGAGAGACCGGAGTTCGAATCTCGGCCGGGACATAACTTTTTATTTATTTTTTTAAATACTGTTGTATTCTATAGTTTATTTTTGTAGTATAAAAAAAGAACTATTTATTCTGTTATTTTTTAATCTCCGGTATTAATATAAATTGATTGTTAGTAGAACTATTTATTCTGTTATTTTTTAATCTCCGGTATTAATATAAATTGATTGTTAGTACAATACCTCATTTAATATAAAATAATATTCTACTTTTTGAAATGTATCGGGCCCTAATTGTACCTAAAAGTAATATATTTTTAATGATATACCATATTGTAAACTATTTAATATTTCAGTCACTTAAAAAGTTAATTTGCATTGAATAATTGCCTACCATTAAAGAAAATTTGAGCTATATAATCCTTGATGGGCATATTCTGGGTATGCAAATACTTCCTGTAAATTTTGGGTTTCGTTCAACCGATTTATTCTCAAAACCTGAAACATCTACATATAAAAAGAAGCACAGGTCACTAATTACAATAAACTTCACCCTCGGAATTACTTCCACTAATTATAATAAACTTCACCCTTGGAATTACTTCTATCACAATTACAATACATTCATCTGCATTGGCATTTTCTACTTTTCGATGGGAAACGATAAAATTCCCAACATTTTTTAAATGATGTAACAATTCCTCTTGTGGTTACTTTTCCATATATATCCTCATCTCTGTCCTCATGTGAAATCAGAGAATTGTTTACCATAAACATCGCAAACTAAAAACCTAATAAACAATTTTATAGGTACCGAATATAGAAATAAATTTAGTATTCTTACCTATTATGGTCCAAAGTCCAAATCCATGTTAATAGATAATTATTATTTTTAAATATATTTTTTTGGAACTGCTGGTTTTAGTAATTATTAAATTAAACGAACTAAAAAGTCTTAAAAATAAACAATTCTTAACCATAACCCCAAAAAATGCAGATCTCCTGTCAACTTTCTTTATTTTTTATTTATTCCTCATTTTCCTAGTGACGTTACAGGTGGTATGCGCGAACTGAACGAAATTGGAGCCGCTATCGATCATACCTTGTATTCTTTGTACCATGATGCGCAGTAGTAACAGCAACGTCTACCGGCAGCCAGAGGGCCCACACGCTGTTCTAGAGAACATGCCAAAAGATATATTAAAGGACCAGCTTTCTTAAAATTATCTCTCGAACGTTGCCAGCTCTTAGACTATTAATTAATATCATCCCAAGCTGAAGACAGACCAAAATGTTTATAAAACCATTGGAGTAAAATGCTAAAAAACTGTACAATTTAAATACAGACAGACTTGTTTAGGTTAAAAAACATAATTATCTGTTTTTCACAAACGTCTATATTTTAAAATACTGATAATATAATCCCATTACATTCTTCAAAACATTAACAAAATGAAGATCAAATGACATACTATGTTATTTTAAGAAACTCATTATTTCTAATCTTCACTGATATTCACAGTTGCACTTGGAACGTAAAATAAAAAATGCTATACCAAAAATAAAGATATTCTTTAATACGGAGTATAGTTGAATGTAAAAATAAAATTAATTTTTACTAGTGTATTAAGTTATAAACTTGATGACTGTTCGTACTTATATTTTATTAATCAATATTATTTTTAAATACGATATAAACTTTGAAGATAATTGAATTTATTCATACCTGACACCAAGTTGTAGACACTTTGTTATCTAACATGCGCATATCCGACATGGCTAATGGATACAATTGGGCGCCATACACGTTGTACCTCAAATACAAGGGAACCCCAAGAATAAGGGTAGGGACTATGACTGCTAGAAGACATAGTCTCAATACCCTGAGGGGTCCCTTGAGACTTGTTGAAGATCGTTTCTCGAATGGGCCAAAACTTTGTAATGGAAACTCTGGAATCAAAAAAATGTATTGTTCATAATGACAATTTGACTCGAAATACCAAGTGAAGAAATTTCATAAATACCCGACCTTTCCAGTGGAGGTGTTTTATCTTTTGGATTACCTAATAATTGTTGTAATTTTGTGGGTGGTAAAGAAGATGAGGGAGGAATGTGCATGGGTGTTATGTTTTTAGGAAACTTGACAACAGCTGGAATTTATGTTATCCACATAAATTTCGGACCGACGGACCGAAAAAGCCCGACATGTATACAAAAACACCATTAACTTAAAAAAAACAGTATATTTTGATGATAAAAGTAAAATATGATAATTAATTTGCCTGTAATCACTACAGATTTAGATCAAAATAAAAACTTAATTATCCTACATAAAATGTTCAATTACGTGATTTTAAAAATTATCACAATAAACAACTAATGTTTAAATAATGTTGTGTATGTTTATATTGTATAAACTATATGGGGGAAATGGTTATACAGTATTTTCAGTTGTTTTTAAATTTTTTGCTGTCATTTTAATTCATGGGTAAATTGCATTTTCTGTCATTCTTTCTATATCTCTGTCAAAATATTTCCTGGCTTTTTAGACAGACTTCACCTATGACACCTATGTAAAATGGTATAAACGTATAGGTACTTAAAAAATATTTTCATAATAAAACAATATAAAGAGAAGTTAAAAGGCCTACAAATATGCGAATTTCTATATTAAGTTGATCAGACCGAAGGACACAACCATCCGATGAGCGTTTCGGGAATTTATTCCCATCATCAGGCCGATTTTGCAGAATTTTTAAATATCGATCTTTGGTATATGAGTAAGAATGCTTAATAAAACAATAGGATTAAACAAGACTATGTTTCTTTGTGATACAAAATACAGAGCATTCCATTTAAAAGAATGGATAAAAATTTATATTAGTTTATATCTAAAAACACTAAAGGTTTTAGTAGGCTGCAAGTAACTAAATAGAAAAATAATAATAGGAGGTAAATAATAACATAACGGTTCTATAAATAGTAATAAAAACAATGATAAGCTGTTTAAAAAACGTATCTATAGTAAACTGAAACTATTTAATATGAAAAGTAATGAATTCATTGCTGATGTAGCGGATATTTTTCGCAAGTAATATAAAATTTGTTCGGGTAATATTGACAAAAGGATTTGTCTTGCGAATTATCACACGAGCGTTCTATTTGTTATAATTATTATTTAAATATAGCTCTAACAATGTTGATTTGACAGGCAATGCGCAGTTTGTCTGATGAATTGTACACATACCTACATAGATATTTAAAAAAATTCCAGAATTTTTATAGTTTTGAGTTGAACTTATCAACTGCATCCAACTGGTTTTTGTTTTTCAATCTTTATCAACGAGCTTTATCTAGGTTAGGTTAGGTTGCTGGAGTTTGGGATCATGTTTGATCTCTCACTCGAAGGCCTTTTGGGCCCATTGTCCCCAAACCTTCCTCTCATTCTTTCTTTGCGTTAAAGCACTTCCAGCTGTTTACAAAGTTCCCGAAGTCACTGATGTTGGCTTCTGCTTGACTTCTGTTTTAAAGCGTCGGTATTCCAGTGCCGGACAGTGGCACAGCAGGTGCTCTATGGCTTCTTCTCCGCATTCTCTGCAGTAGTCGTCGTCGGAAACTTTCCATCTCACGAGATTTACCCTCATGAGGACAGTTTCCATTGACGACACCTACAATTATGCGTACTAGGTCCTTTTTGTGCTCTAGTAGTTGTTTTGTCTTTTTGCTATCTACCACTGGCCATAGTCTTCGAGCTGTAGCGCAGTCTTCACGGTGTTGCCACGTCTCTTGCTGCTTGGCTTTGATGGCAGTTCCTATAGCTTCCTTCAGTGTGTTGATCGTCGCAACTGGTGGGTCATCTGCCACGGCCTATACCCGGGCCCCGTCTTTGGCGAGTCTGTCTGCTTTGTGGTCTGCTTTCTGATTGCCCACCAGATTGCTGTGGCCTGGCACCCAGCACAGAGTAGCCCCGCCCTGACGCAGCCAGGACAGTGCTTCTCGGCATTCCATCACAGTTTTCGATATCACTGAGCTTTATCTACTCTCTTTTAAAAACTTCCGGTAGATTTAAATTGTACCAATATAAAAAGTATGTACAGTTGTGGCACAAAGTTTATGTCACCATTTTCCATGTTTCTCCATTTTGCCCACAAAATCTGCATTCTCCGCTGTTTCTTAGCTTCAATCTACTGAGATGTTCATTGAGGAGACTGCGCAGCGTCCTGTCAAAAACCCCGTGACTAGGGAATGCAATCCCGCACCAAAATCTCAATCCCACAAACCCGCGGGATTAAAGCAATCAATCCCGCGGGATCCGCAAAATTGCGGGATTGTAAACAATAAATGCTCCTCTTAGTACTTAACCTATTAAACTGGCTAATATAATGGTTTTATGCAATTAATTGAAATTTTAAGTATGTACGACTAATCTGTATTGAAATTGGAAAAAAACAATTTGGTGGGTTTTTTAAAAAAATTTGTTTTAAGGAAAATACGAGGTTTTTTCGAAAAATATGCATTTATAGTCATACATTTGGTCCTAAATGGTACAAAAAGCATTGTACATTTTGCATAGGCCCACAATATATTGATATAGCGTGTATCTTAAACTAGCTGTACAGAAATTTGGACTAATGTATACAAGGTGTTCAAAGAATATATTTAATACTAAATAAACTTATTTATTATAATTTATCTACTTATTTTATAAGTAAAAATATTATTCTGATGTTGAAGTTTTTTTTATCTTGTGTTAGTTATCTGCTTTTAGATCTATATCAATAATTTTTTGGCATATGCAGAATGTACAAAGCTTTTTGTACCATTTAGGACCATACGTATGACTAAAAATGCATATTTTTTCGAAAAAACGTCGTATTTTCCTTAAAACAAAAAAAATAAAAAACCGACCAAATTGTTTTTTCTAATTTCAATACAGATTAGTCGTACTGTCATACTTGGTAAAAATTTCGATTTTTTAAGAATTGTAAATTTGCGGTAAAAAAGATTCTTGACCAAATTTTCACACTCTTGTAAAACACCCTGTATACGATAATTCGCTAAATATATTTTCGAAAACCACAGAGCATCTTAGTCACAATAGATGCATTTACAACCTGGTCCCAACCACATCCCAAAATCTTTTTTAGTTCAAGAGATATTCAACTTTAAATTTACCTTAAAATTTTGCTTGTCCCGATAATTATGTCCGGCAGTTTATTTGACGAAATTGTCCATAAGTACTAGTTAAACACTTTTCTTCACTTACGCTGCTTATACGCACATACGCCAGAAAGAAATCTAACAACTAACGTGTTTGTTTCACTTATTTTTAATGGCCAAGAGGCCAAGGCGTAAGGGGATTTAAGTATTCGGTTACCCAGTAGTAATGTGTCAATCCCGCAGATCCCGCACGGTAAATCCCGCAATTTTGATCCCGCGGAATTTCAGCGGAGGGTCCAGCATTTGCGGGATCCAGCACTTGCGGGATTGCGTTTCCTACCCGTGACAATCCGAAGATTGTTCTTACTTAAATCAAGGTTTTTAATCTTTAATGTCCTTTCGGTCGTATGTTCTGAGAAATTTCTTCGAGTGTCTTGGACCGTTGAAGGATTCCCATTCCAGGTTACGGATGGAGTATTCCAGGATCTTGCGTTCCACTTTAAGAGTAATTTCACTAGTCCGAAAAAGTAGCAAAATAAGCGTTTGGCATTTAACGTTTTATGTAAAACTGGCTAGGTATTTTTACACAAATGAAGAAGGAAATTAAAGATAAAGGATTATACTGTATCCTTATTGTAGCACTATTTTAGACAATTTCTTTATTTTAAAGATTTTGATGGTCAAACATTTACAGTGCTATATAATTTAAATAGTTTTGTAACAAATTGCTTGCTATTTTATGGCAAATGCTGAAGCTCTGCAAACTTTAATCAAAGCACGTGTGTTTGGAATTTTGGGTGTGGATTAACACGACAGGATCGGGCTAAGCCTTAGGCAGATTTCTGAAATATAATATACTTATATTTCCTGCGGCCACACACCCGCTTTACCCCACCCCTTAGAGCGACCCGAAAGCACAGCGTAATACACTCTTAAGTTGGTTTCCACCAGGGTTACGACAAGCTACACAATTGTGTATTTTGCTACACATTTTCTTCCATGATTGCACAGCTACACCACAATCGGCTGTGCTACACATTTTGAGAATTTACATATTTCTTATAAAAAATAATACCAGAACAGTAAATTAGCTGACAAAAGCTGTTTTTTTTTTGCTTTTAAGTTATCTAAGTTACATTAAAAGAGGCCACAACTGAACTTTAAATTTTGAACTGACAAATAACATTTTCCGTCATTAGTGTTCAGGTGTTCAGTAAAATGTCAGAGTATGAACTGGGTCATGAATCAAGGACCGTATATTGGTCGAGTCAAAAACGGTAAATAGACAGGATTGTTTAATTCCTTAAATAATACACAACACGTACTTTGGCCAAATTTCACTGCCTCAATTACGTCACTCTAGTTCAGTCACACTTCTACTCGTTGGCATACGTGAATAATATTCAATTTCTATTTCACTTCCTCTCATATCAGCAAGGACTGCAGTTTCTATGGACAAATTTGGCCGGTTAAACAGTCCTGAATTGTTTACAGTTTTTATACAGGCTTTTTTAACCGGTCTAATTTGTCCATAAAATCGTTAGTTTGGCGACATGAATTTTAACGTCATTGCAATATTTGCTGGCATGAGAGGAAATGAAATGGGAAATGAATATATTGACGTATACAAACGAGTGGAGGTGAGACTCCATTCGTTTTACCACCATGTTTTAAAATTTGTTGAACGTACGTCTTTTTCTTAGTCTTATTAGATAGTTTACTATTATTGGTCATTGGTGGCTACACAATGCTACACATTTTTATGGTCAAGTTCTGCACAATCAAAAATT